AACAAGAAGTATTATTTAAAGAGTGAAGCACATGATAGGATAGAAGATATAGAGCATTGACAAAGAGAGTTGAGAGAGGGTCGTTTAAAGTAGGAGGAACCTTCCACATTCAATTTTAGAAAAAGTCAACATATTTCAGAAAAAATAGTTTTGTTTGCATTAGAATTTGGAAGGTATGGTAATGATTAAAATAATTTGTAAAAATAGTGACGGTGTGCACACACACACGTGTTAATTCTGCAGTTTTGTAAATGGTTAAGTAGCAGAAGCAGTTACTTTTTCTGTATTTTCAATCGAATCATTCGCATGTTTCCTGTTTTGAAAAGGATTTAAATATGTGTGTAGTGTAAGAATGATGCTGTAAACGATAAGAGGTTGCCATTGTTAAAGAAATAGCGAAAATCTTCTCCGTATTTGGAACGAAAGAAATGAATTCCTTTTAACTATTTTTCCTAAGTGTTCCACAGTATAATTATGCAGTGAACATTTGGAGAGAATCACAACAAACATCTTAGTAAAATTTCCAAATCAACCATCTGGGTTAAAGATATAATACGGTCCGCAAATACTAGAATATTTAAAAAGTCACGGTAGCAGTGCTGCAGCATAGCAAAGTGGGGATACTTAAGAAGGCAAAAGAAATAAAGCCGTGGGTGAGAAACAGTTAATGTTTGTTACGGCTTAGTCTACTCAGGTCCTCTCTTGCCTAGAAGAGGTCGAAGAACGAGCGCATCCGACACATGCCTTTGTTGCATGGAAGAGTTAGAAGAACCAGATTGCTCTACTCATGAACATGATTTCCTCAAAGAGTAAGACCCTACTTGGTCTACTCTGCTTGCCTTGTAGGTAGAACAGGCTTAGTGTACTCATGATCTTGCTTATCTGCAAGTAGAAAAACGTGCTTAGTCTACTCAAGTCTTTGCTTTCCTTAAAAAGGTAGTACCTGCTTAGTCTACTCAAGCCCTTGCTTGCCTTAAAAAGGTAGTACCTGCTTAGTCTACTCAAGCCCTTGCTTGTCTTAAAAATGTAGAATCTGCTTAGTCTACTCAAGCCCTTGCTTGTCTTAAAAAGGTAGAACCTGCTTAGTCTACTCAAGTCCTTGCTTTCCTTAAAAAGGTAGAACCTGCTTAGTCTACTCAAGCCCTTGCTTGTCTTAAAAAGGTGAAACCTGATTAGTCTACTCAAGCCCTTGCTTGTCTTAAAAAGGTGAAACCTGATTAGTCTACTCAAGTCCTTGCTTGCCTTAAAACGGTGAAACCTGATTAGTCTACTCAAGCCCTTTCTTGCCTTTAACACGTAGAAAGTGCTTAGTCTACTCGTGCTCTTTCTTGCCTTGAGGAGGTAGAACGTGATTAGTCTACTCGTGTCATTGCTTGTCTCAAAGAGGTAGAAGAATATTATTAGTCTACCCACGACCTTGCTTGCCTCGAAGTAGAGAGGGCTTAGTCTATTCGCGCACTTGCTTGCCTTGAAGTAGAGCGGGCTTAGTCTACTCGCGTCCTTGCCTGCCTCAAATAACTAGAAGAACGCGCTTGGTCTAATCGGGCCCTTGCTTGTCTTCAAGACGTAGATCATGCTTAGTCTACTCGTATTCTTGTCTTCAAGACATATAATGTGCTTAGTTTACTCGTGCGCTTTTTTGCCTTGAAGAGGTAGGTCGTGCTTAGTCTACTCGTGCCCTTGCTTGCCTTAAGAAGGTAGAACGTGCTTAGTCTACTCGTATTCTTTCTTGCCTTTAAGAGGTAGAACGTGCTTAGTCTACTCGCGCCTATACCAGCCTCAAAGAGGTAGAAGAACGCGATTAGTCTACTCGTGCCCTTGCTTGTCTTTAAGACGCAGATCGTGCTTAGTCTACTCGTATCCTTTCTTGCCTTCAAGAGGTAGAACGTGCTTAGTCTACTCGCGCCTATGCCAGCCTCAAAGAGGTAGAAGAACGCGGCTAGTCTACTCGCGGCCTTGCCTCGAAGAGGTAGGCGACGGCGACGAGCGCCGGCGCGGTGAGCGGCGTGGGCCCCACGCGCGCGTGCAGCGCCTGCAGCTCCAGCGGGAAGGCCATGTGGTTGATGGTGTGCTCGCTGCCCTCGGCGTCCGACAGCCCCCAGCGGAACAGCGCCGCTTGGAACTGGTACGTGCCGCCCGTCGGCCCTCCCGACAGCGTGGGCGGCGCCTCGGCCCAGCAGCCCTGCAGCACCACTGAAGACACAAGGAGAGAGTGCAAGATGAATTATTCGTAACAACTCTGATCCTTCGTTGATTGGTATGTTCTAAAGTTTGAGTTCTGACGCGACTGTGACGTATTTTCTAAACTTGATAAATAGTGGGGTCGAATTCAACCACTTGAGAATTCTTGCGAATGGCTTCTCTACTTGGTAATTTTGTATAATATTGACATGAATATTATTAATATCAATATTAAAATGTGAATAATAATATTGATAATTGAATTGTGAAACGTTTTGTAGTACCAAATTACGGATTCTCTTTGCAATGAGAAACTATTCATAGCCCTTGCTAACTTCCAACACTGAGGGACACTAAATATACAAACGTCGTAGCAATTCAGATATTTTACAGTAGCCAACTGTCATGTAGCTTTAATGCGTTTTATGACTTGCACACTACTCGTGTAACTTTCCGCAACTGCCTTCGGCCTCACGAACTCAAACTTAGTTTTTCTGTTGCGTCTGGCAACACCGGTTTTGAGGCGCGGCGATGGCGAATTTTCGGCATTGACAATAGATCTCGGACACTAGAACAAAATTCTGGTTATGGGCTGTTCTGATCGGTAGTTTGCCGCGTTTCTTCGATCCATAACAGGTGAATGATGGATCAGTACATTAACAAACGGCCTATGAAATGCGCGATATCCTGTCTTTCTCTTACTTGTCTTAGCATCTTGTCTTTATCACATACACGTGCATTTCTATGCACCATACCACATGTCGGGGGACCAGTTAGGCGTTTAGTGCTTGTTCAGGCTGGGGTAGAGCCACAATGGGGGAGAAAACCTGATGTGATGGAAGAAACCATCCACACCGACGTGTATGTCGGATCTCCATTACCAAATGGGAAAGTACTGCCACCATCCGGGGTCTAACATGCACTATCATGCCCGAAATCAATACTCTCCGTCCCGCCCCTCGCGTAGGCTGCTCGTTCTTCGGCGGCGTGCCCATCCACCACACACGGACTTCAAGCGTTTAGACTCAAGGGACCATGGTCAACTGATTTATTCTCAAGAACCTTCAACCGTTTTCACATGGTTTACGTATTATGGTTTACGTTAACTGTTAGCATGCTTTAATATAAAACGTGCCAACAGTTCATGGGTATGAGTCCGGAAAGAGTAAGGTTAGTGAAGCTACAATGATGTAGATCGCAATATTTTTGAAATTATTAGTTTCATCCTCGCTGTGCACAGTAGCGCCAAGCAAGGAGTCAGCAATTTATTGCATGACTAATGCTTATATAAATTGTCATACATTTATGTTTAAAATAATGATTTACTTTTCTCTCAGTTGATTTACAAACAGAAATGGCAGTTTATAAGGAACCTTTTTGTTGTTTTTCATCATGTTTATGAAATAATTGACAATGTGGTAATTTTGTAGTTATAACTTTGTCATATGTTTGATTTAAGAATTATGATCGACGTTCCTAATTTGTCATTACTTGTCAAAATGACTGTTTTAATAAAATCAGCAGGAGAATATGGAAATTCATTTTTTACTCTCCCCCCTCTCTCGTCTTTCTATTTCTCCTAATCTCTATCTATATTGGCTAACTCAGTTTTTTACCTAGAAAATCGTTTTAAACCCGTAATCACAATAATACGATATATCTCAGGGATTTATATTCCAATTTACTAAAAAAGTGGGCCTGGAAAATCACCGCACATTACGATTCTCGGCTGATATAATCTTTATATGGGAAATTTCATTTCCTCATGCTGGGACCCATTCATTTACTCTTTGAGCTCGGACATTTTAAATATACGGGCAAAATGACGGTGTACTTTTTTTCACAGAATATCGAAAAACTACCACCAAAACACCCACTTCAATAATATTTATAGGAGAACTCTATTACGCGTGTTTTTCAATTTATCTTTGATTGACCCAATAAATAATTGCATTTTTGTAGCTAAGACAGTCCCTTTATTCTACAGGCTACTTTGCGTTCGGGAGATCATTGTTCAAAATAGTTAATGATGAAATAATGTATTAAGGGTTCATACGAAGCAAGATTAGAGCACAAGTTTCCTAGGAATTTTCTTAGTTCTTTAATCGCCAAAATCACCACAGTAGTGGATCGACATTCGTAACTGCATCGTGGAAACTCCAGCAATCTCTTACAGCCACACGTGCAATAATAACTCATATTTTAGTATCCGACTGTGTGTAGAACAGTTGCACTCAGAACACAGTGAATGTTGACTAGTTGTGGATTTATTTTTAAAAAAACTTCATTTTGAATGTCCCTGCGGAAGGGACCACAAGAATATAAAATGTTCCCAATGTATGTGCCATATCTCAAAACCGAAAATATTTTACACAATCGTGCAGAAAATGAGTGTGGTATATTTCTCAATACAAGTATTAGTATTAGTTGATGAATATAAAAAGTCAATTATACTGCAATATTTTCTGGGATCCTCTCCATTTGATCTCCCAGAATCGCGTTGGTTAGTCACTGTTAACTCAGTTAAGTGGCTGTAGTGACGATTAAACTTTAGTTACGCCCACCACCACTCTTACCCTCGGCGGCGCCACATCACCGCCGTGGCGCCGCAACGCCGGCCTTGCCGGAGCGATGGCAGCGGTTGTGGCGGAGGGATGACGTGTTGTTACCCCCTCCCTCCACCCTTGCCTTCCAGAGTCGAGTTCTGCTGGGCGGTGGCCGAGCAGTCCTTCGCCTCAAGTTCTAACTAACGTGTTGATCGATTGTATTTAGTTTTGTTACTGTTTGTCCTCGACTGATTGTTCTGTTCATTCCCCCAGGTATTCTGTCACGACCCGGCTTCGTTATGGAACTTCTAGTGGATTATTGCAAATTTTCTCTTATATCAGTACATCTCCCTGGATTGTTGTGAAACCTGACTGGCCTGGTAAGATTTCGGAATCGTGATACAATAAATGTGTTTTGTTGGGGAATTTGAGTTTATTGCCATAACGGTAGCATCTGGCGAAATGACGCAATTTGCGTTCCTTTCTTCGGCAACTAAACAAGACCGACTCTGAAGCCCTCAACCCGTCCTGAGCCGAATAGGAGGCGCGGCGCACCTGACGTGCCGTTGTTGAGGAGGTGCAGGCGCGTGGGCGCGCACGTGTAGTTGTTGAAGGAGAGCGGCGCCGCCGTGTCCACCAGCACGGAGTCCTGCGTGTTGATGTTGACGGGCGACTGCTTGCTGCCGCGGCTCGCGGGGAACAGCTCCTTCCACATGTGGGGCCCTGCAGCAGCCACCGCTCTCTCACAGTTTTGCGACTCTGGACGGAGGTTGTTTGTATCGTGTACGTTCTTACAACGATGCCGGAAGGGCAAGGAAAACGTTCAAGGGGCACTTCCCACTTGGAATTATTAGATCCTTTTATATTACCTGATTTCATTACAGAAAATCTATGTCTGAATTTATTTTTTCGTCCTGTTTGTTGAATCAAACCCTGATTTCCTTGTTTATGCTCTAGTTGATCTAATAGCAATAATAATAATAATAATAATAATAATAATAATAATAATAATAATAATAATATGGGATTTGATATTTCAGATACTAGTAGAAAAAATTTACATTTTAATAAAAAGTAAATTTAATGTGTTTTTATTTACTGGCACACGCCTGCTTCTTATTTTTGAAATTGTTACTTAATTAAATAGTGAAAGCTGTTCAGAAATCATTACTCCGAAATTATTGATTCACTGATAGTTTTATCGTCTTGACTTTCAACATATTAAACGAGATCATAAACTGTTGAAATACTTTTATTTGCTTCGCCTTAACTTTCCTAGTATGCTCCAAGATCTTTTTAATTACCATAGTATTTTGAAATTGTTTTTGTGAGATGCAGTAATAGCAGTAATGCGTTACTGTAGTGCTGGAATTTCTATAGAATCTACTCGGAATAAAAAAAAACATTTTCTATAATTTCCTCTTCATAAATCAGTATTCTGTGGTCTTGAACGAATGATTCTCAAATAAAAATAAAATAGATTTTATTTATTTCCTCAAATAATAATAAACTATTTTTGACGTAACAAGACGTGCAATCTGCGCACGTTTTCTTGAGCTCCAGAATCTCTTCCCCTTCTTTTAAGTATAGAGAGATGAATGATGAATAAATGTGCCATCAAAGCCAGGTTAGCAACGTTTGAGAACTAGACCTTTTCGCTCCAGTTGTAGAAATATTATATGCCAGGGTAAACGAACTACAGATTTCAATTCCTTAGACATAATTCCTTCGATATAACTCTTCCAGTTTCTTAGATATAACTGCTGATAAACTAAACGGAGAAAGCATTGCTCAAAACTATAAAAAAATTAATTCATATTTCTGATTAAAAAAGATAAATTACAAAGAAATAAATGAAAAAAAACCCTCGTTACAATTTGCGAATTAAAATATTATGTACATTTGTCAAGAATATGTTGTAAATATTATTTCTAACACACCAAATAACCGAACTAGATGAAACCATGACTGGTACGCACCATTTTCTAGATTGTAGCCATATATAGGCCGCATTATCTTTGCTCCGGTCCGTGTACCGCAACCGGGGTTGATGCCGATGAGCTCGGTCAGCAAATACGCTGCAAGACCACTTTTCAATTGTTTGTAAGTACTACAAAGTAAGTCCAGAATAATGTAATTCAATTCCCTTATAGTCTTCTATAATATTTAAGTAGAATAGATAAGTTTTGCGGTTTTTACACGTAACCAATAATTATAAATGAGATCTCTACAGAAAGAAAATTTCACAGAGACATAACGAATTTTGGCATTAAAAATATGAAGGTTTTGTTCAAAATAGCATGTAAATGGAACCTACAGCACTCGGCAGCATTATAAAATCTGTATACTATAAGATGTAAATGAGCTATTTTGTACAGCGAAGCTTCGTTTATAAGTTATTTAACTATACATATACAGTCAAAGGATTCAAAGAAACGTATCTCACACCGCAATTTAGTACAGGATGAGATTTTTGGACATTCTATTACATTTTTGCTGGTCCAGCGCTTCTCGTTACTACCCCAACTGTTCACAGAAATGCAGAATCTGCAACTATGTGAAATTAAACGAATTAATTTATATTATATGCGATTAAATTTGACGGGTATACCTCTCTGTTCAGTAATAAAGATATAATATTTTAAAGAGGTTCTACTTACCCGATCGGGTATTTTCAAGTGGGAAACTTTATGTAGTGTTCTCGAGAGTAAAATTATTTTGTAATATGCTTGTGTCTATCAAAGGGCGTGAAAAGTTATCATGGAAGATTGTCTAATTTATTCAAATGTTTTTAAGGAAGCGTTGTGAGTTGTTCCAAGAACAAGTGTATAATACCGAAGAAGGCTTTATTAAATATGTGTTTCCATCTTCGATTCCATTGTTGTTATTTTTATTTCATATTTTGTAAGTTCATTGGAAGTTACCTTTACATATTTTTCAAAGAAATAAATACGTTTTGTTAACAAGTTCCCCTCTAAATTTGGAAATGGAAGGATATGGAAGAGGTTGAGGATGAGAGTTCTCGCACTGGTACAAAATTATTTGCTTATCTGCTTTAGGAAATATGAGTAGGTGCCGATGCCGGGCGCGACAAGTCCTGACGGTGAAAGTGTGAGGCATGTTATATCCCTAGAGGTGGCATTGAGCATTCCTTGCTGGAAAGTGAGATGTGCGACGTACATCTCGGCTTGGGGCTTCCTTCTCTAGGTATCTCCCTCAACGGTGGAGACTTACTCTAACCTCCCGACATTTGTAATAGAGCAAGAGAGTGTGTGAAATGGAAGAGTAGTGGATGAGGACGAGGGTGGAAAGATCGCGCGCGGTCCGTGCCCGTTTGTTCAGGTATTGCTCAGGCATTCGCGTTGTATTGATCGGGAAAACCACCAAAAACATCCAATCAGAGGAGCTGGCCGCTATAAAATTGTGTAATTAATATGAAATAATCATAATAAATAATTTTATTTCCTTTTTATACTTCATCCTGATTGTTATTCATTTTTGGAAATATACTTTTTCAGGGTTAGGAATGTTATATACCGTTTGAATTTGCAATCTTGTGTTTGTAGGTACAAAATCAGTTTAGTAAGTAAATAATAGTAATAAAGATAAAAATAATGAAACACAGAGCTCAGTTCACAATTTTAAGAATGAAGCATTACATTACGCTTTTTAAAAAAAATGTAAAATCTTTAAATTATCTAAGTCATGTTCTTACCGACGAGTATAGTGCAGGCACAAAGAGCAAGGAACTGTAGCATATTTTCATGGAACAGAAACTCTTCCCAGAGCCTCAGCATTTTGATCGCCTACTAGAAAGAAGGAAGTTTCGGTCGTAAACCTTGAAGAGAAGTCTTTCTTCCAGCTAGTCAAGTGATACCTGCAATGCACTTCAAAATTCTATCATTATTCTTCTCATTCTTTCAGCGAGAATTTATTTTTTCAAATATCATACTAAAGCTATTAAGAGAACTACTAATAATGTGTATTTTAGAATGTATTATTAAATTCCATAAATTTTCTATAATTCACTTGTTATATTTTGGTTCTAAAATCATGAACACTTCAAATGTAACAAATGTAATTTATTTGGAGTGATAGCCTCAGTGGAAACTACGGTTCGTGTAATTTTCTCACCTGATTTTATTTATTACATTGGAAGAACTGCTCAAGCTGAATTTTTAATGCGATGGAATATATTTTTTCTTATCGTAATTCTAAAATTTGAAAAATGAGGTGATAACGTCATCGACAATAATTTCTTTCCCATATTACATGCGTCACTTCTTGCTTCAATTTTGAAAGCACCCGCAAGAATAGAAGTTCTATATCTATGAAACGAATCAATTGCTCAATAATGTTACTAACTACTGTTGAACGTGAATTGGACTTTGTTGGCAACGTATTGAGTCCTTCATTTCAACCATTATTGCTCAGAAATATTCGCCTTGTTCACGATGCATTGTATTAAAATTTGAAATAATATATTTTCAATAGATTTGTTTATATTGCTGTTACAGTAGTAAATTCTGATCTTCACTTACCACATTCAGTCGGTTATGTTGTTATTCATAATTTAAATATTTTTATTTACTTGTTTTTTTCATTCATTTATTTTTCAAATAGGCAATCGCACAATACAAAAGTATTATATACACCGACAAAAACCAACATCTCGCCACACCACTTCCACATCACATCTCTCACAAATATACAATATACACCTCAACACATCACAAATGTAAAAAGCAACACAAAGTACAAAGTCTATCAAAGCTATCACAACCCTTACTACTGTCATCACAAATATACAAAACAAAAACTATAGAAAATCTATCAACATCACTCTTTTAGCTACCTTTTCTAGGGTATTTATTGACAGAGCATAATCAATATCATGCTTATTCGGTATTTTTCTACGCATTCTATTCAGTGGAGCATTAGAAACGAGTTCTAGCAAATGGCAGTGCATATAGTGCTTCATTATTATTTCTGATACTTCTGAGAGAAATCTTTCAATAAACTTTTGATAGTAAAGTAAAGCTATCAACATTATTATTTAGAAAGTTAAAAAATAATACACAATCATTCAGATTACGATAAGAGGAGAGAGAACCAAAATTTAGCAAATTAGCAACTTGTTTGTAATCATGCGATACTCTCGGCGATGGCAATATGAACTTGAATGCAACAAAATTGAAGAATTTATGCTGGATAGACTCTTGTTTACAGAGATTTCATAAGATATTATAGTGATCAATAATAACGTGAAGGCTAATGGAAGTGCAATATCACAAATTATTTTCACAACTTGAGATATAAACTTCATTTAAAAAAAAGAATTGTATCATTCTTCAAATGAAAATATATGGCTTCGTGATTGCGCATTTTGTGTACAGAAACCGCAATGTTTCAAGGGATGAAATCAATATTAACTTGAATCTCGTCTGGTGAAGACGCCAAGTGACTAGAATGAGCGTCATGCAGAAAAACTTCAAACGTAAGAAAAACAATAGTTCTGCAGAGTGTTAATGATAATAATGCCTGGAACTCTGGCCATGGAGTCTGGAGATACACAGAGATAAGAGTGATGATCCTTTCTGTCATGGAGTAAGCCAAGCATTCTACGCGATACGATCTCTCCTCTCAGATGCGCTAACGAACAATGAGTTGGGAACAGACTCGGAGAGCAGAGTCCTCGTTTACTGTGTCAGCTACTTAAATAGTAATGAAACAAATTGTACTTATGTTAAATCGTCCTATTTTGAATTGGGTGTTTCTGAAAT